AAGGGTAGGGGCTCTGGTTACACATTTGTAAGGTATCCAACATATTGATTGGGTGCTACAATGGTGAGCAAGTAGCTTTCTGCTTTGGGATGCTTTGTTGTCTTGAATGACCTCTCAGCAAAAGCCACCTCTTGGCTTTATATGACCATTCAGCTCTCACATCAGCTAATTAAAATATCAGCTGATTATTCAAAATCCCCAGAGACAGGATTAGATTGCTAGCTTGATTCAGATGTCTTTTGTGACCCAATCAGCTACAGTTAAGGAGGTGGGGTCATATAGTACTAGTATAGAAGTTGCACCCATTGGTTCAATAGGGACTATGAGTAATGAACAATTCTCAGAGAAGGAATTTACACCCCAAATTATACATATATTTGAAATCCATTGTAGTGCTTCCCTGAATCTCTATTATTTTATTGTTTCTTCTTTCTCTCTTGCCTCTAACTGTGGGATCTGTCCAAAGATCTCCCTTGACCTTTTTTTTCTCCATACTCTTCCTCTTGAAATTTTGTGGCTGTGAGTATCACTGATAGTAAATGAATCTGAAATCTTTACTTCCATATCCTATCCACTTCCTAATGCCTGCCTCACAAGTCTGTTTGGATTATAGACCTCTCCACTTGGATGCCTCACAGGTAAATGATAGCCATTTGTCCAGAACAGCACAGATCATCTGCCCACATTCCTCCATTTTATTTGATGTCAGTTCTCTACTACTAATTGTGTAGTCTCAAAACCTCAAGATTATCTTTGTCTACCCTCACAAATCTTCTCATATCCTATTAGTCATCAAGCCCTATTGATTTAGCTTCCACCTAATCTCTCATACTCATTTACTCTTCCTTATTTGTACTGCCCAAACTGCAGTTCAGACGTTTATTACTTCTTACCTAAATTGCTGAAATAATTGCCCAGTGGTTTACCAACAGTCATTCCTCATTTAAACCCATTCAACAGATGACTTTCGGTTTAATCATCCTAAAGTACAGTATAATCTCTTAACTCTTCTGCACAATAGTTCCCTCTTACTTATTAAATAAAACTCAAACGTCTGTGCATAATATAGAATTAGCACCCACTGCAACTAAGAATATCTAAAATAGCAATGCCACTTAAATAAAGTAAAAGTTTTTCTCTGAATGTAATCAGTCCAGAGTTGGTATGGTGATCTGGGACCTAGGTTTCATCTAACTAGCTGCTCTGCTGCACGTGGCTCACACGTAAGGCCATCTCATGGTTTATTGTGGCACTGAAGCTCCAGCTATCACAGTCGTGCTTCATGCAGCAGAATAGAGGAATGGCAGAAGGGCTTGTGCCCTTTTTTAAGTAAACGTCCCAGAATTACTAGCTGAATTTTGCTTACATTTACTGGCTGAAACATAGACATACAGGCACACCTAACTGCAAGAAAGAGTCTTTTCATAAGAAAAGGAGGAGAATAGACACTGATGTAGGCAGCTATAAATCTTTGCCATGGACCACCATTCAATGCCATTTATGTTTGTTCTCAACCCAGAATTTCCGTCTTCATTTCCTATCATGATTTTAAGCATTCCGTCTGTCTATGCTGGGTTAAAATTCTTATTTTTTCTCTTTGGTCCTATTTGTATTAGTTAGGGTAAATTTGAAATAACTATAGAAAAAGCCCTCTAATTTCAGTGGCTTATATAAGATAGAAATGTATTTATCTGACATAAGAAGTCAGTGGGTCTAGGCTGACAGGACAGCTCTGCTTTTGGGGTCAGTGAGAAACTCAGGACCTTCTTTATCTTATAGGATTTTGTACTCATCTGCCGAATCAAAGCTGATTCAGCACTATATTAGTGTTCCAGTCCACAGGAAGGAGAAAAAAAGCATCATTCTAGAGAAGATGGTATGTCTTTAAGTTCAAGGTGACCTGAAATTTGCATATATTACATTTGCTCATATCCCACTAGCTTAGCCATGTGCCCGTATTTAGCAGCCAGAAAGACTGGGAAATATAGAGTAGCTACGTGATCATGTGCCAAAGAAAAGGCAGAGAAAGAATTTTGGAAGGACAGCTGCTATTCTGTCATATTCCAGTTCCTTGCTATTCCTGTTATAGCTCAAGTGCCATTTCTGCAAAGAAGCTTTTTCTGAATCTTTAACCCCAAACAGTAATGCTTATAACTAACAGTTATCCAGCACTTGATATGTACTGGGAGCCAGACTCATTTGATACTTTTCAGAATTCTACAAGATTTTGTCCTCATTTCCACATATGAAAAATGACAGTTCACACAGATTAAGTGATTAAGCAAAGATTATATGACTAGGAAACATTGGAATCATGATTTCTACTTCCAAACTCCTACAGGATTTCATTTTTTTTTTTTTTAGTACATCTTTTTATTGCATCTCACTTCCCTCTAGATTGGGAATTTTCAGAGGCTGAGTCTGATTTCTCCTCTAGTCCTCATTGTATATAGCAAAATATCTTGTGCGTAAGAGACTTCTCTTAAATATTTACTGAACGAACGCGTTGTCAGCTAAAAAGAAAAAAAGTTCTGATAAATAGTTTAGGTAGGGTATTAATACAAAGTATATTTTCGTTATATGTAAAATTAGAATGATGTTCTTTATTTACTACCTGTTCCACAGGACTGCACTTATTATATACTTGCAATACATTACATTTATTTATTTATTTTTAAAAAGATTTTATTTATTTTTTTGACAGAGAGAGACACAGCAAGAGAGGGAACACAAGCGGGGGAGTGGGAGAGGGAGAGAGAGAAGCAGGCTTCCCGCTGAGCAGGACACCGGGATCATGACCTGATCCGAAGGCAGACGCTTAACGACTGAGCCACCCAGGCGCCCCACATTACATTTATTTTTAAAGAAAGTAGAATGTGTGAAGAAATAAATTGAGGTTGTTACACAAATTATCATATAATGATACACAAAAAACTCCTAAGAAGCAAAAAAGATGCTTTAAAGAGTACATACAGGCATTTGAAAAGAAAATTTATTTGTGATAGGCTAGACATGGTTCAAATAGCTATATTTATTTCCCACTAAATATTTATTGACATGAGCTATGGGACACCAATTAAGGGACTCAATATCTGTAAGAAAGCTCAAAGGCATTCACTTTCCATGTTTTCAAGGATTCATTACTTTCTTGTAATTCCCAAAGCACTCTGTACAAATGGGAAGATTAAAGCTATTTTGAACTCTTCATGAGGATCAAAGATACGTCATCCCAGATTACTATTGACAAAGAGTTTTCAGCCAACCTACACTGTATCTGTCTAAGCAGATGTCTCCAAGGGCAAGAGTGAGATAGAGAACACGAAATCAAGAATGATGTTAACTCATTTCAAAATGCCCAGTTCTAGCAGAGTTTGTGCGTGCTAACACCTCAACTATTCCTCTATTTTACTATAAGCGCCATGAGGGCAGGGCTTTTTATTTCATCCTTGTATCCCCACTTCCAAGTCTAATAGGAGATGGTCAGTACCTCTGCTTATTCTGTGATCATTAGGCACTGTCATTGCTTTTACATACATCTATCTCCTCAATAGGACTGTGACTTATGCAGGGGCAAAATCTGATTTTTATTCATGTATTTTTTTCCCTGGATCCCACAAAGCAACTAATTCAGTAAATTCTGAATATAATAAGTTGTTACAAAAATTTGTTTTATTTTTCCAGACCACTCCTACTAATAGCATGACTCCCAAAAGTTATTAGACCACACAAATAAACAACTCATTGATTCTACTACCTATTCACTATTCATCTGATGTCACTTTTGATCCAATGCCCTTCTTAAATCCTGTGGTATATCGTTATAATCACTCTACTCATTCTCTTGCATACACCCTCAGCTTATTTTTCCCACTTCTCTTTGAAATGCTTGTCTACTCGCTCTGCACTTTCCCCAGGGGTTCCTTTCCATTTGCAAGACTTTAAATACCACATGTGTCTTTAATGACTCAATAATGACTCCAAAATTGATGTATCTAGCCTGAACTTTCCCCCCCTGAAATTCAAATTCATATATCTGACTGCCTATTCTATGTCTCCACTAGGATGGCTATGGTTGTCTCAAACATAATATATCCAACATTGAACTTATTCTCTACCCTCACCCCAAATCTGCTTCTCCACCAATCTTCCCCTTTTCAGAAAATTACAGTTCCATCCTTCTAGTTACTCAGTTCAATCATGACTCTTTTTTTTTTCTCTCATGCCTGACTTCTAATTCTTTGGGCAGTCTTATTGGAGCTAATGTCAAAATATACCCATTATCTAAACTCTTCTTTTTACTGACATTGCTATCATCTTGATCTAAGCCACTATTCCATCTCACCTAAGTATACATGTGCCTCCTCCCTTGCTACCTCCCACCTTTCCACACTCCAACTCTCAATAGACATTGGAATGATCCTATTAAAACTTAAGTTAAATCATGCCATTCTTCTTATCAAAACCCTGCAATAACTTCTCATCTCATCCAGAGTTAATCTGGCTACTTGTCACCTCTCTGACCTTACCACATACATCTTTCCTCCCTTGCTCATTTTATTTCAGCCACAGTTGGACTGATTTCACTTGCATGGAAGGAATAAAAATTTAGCTTAAATTGAATCAATACTGATATATGTGAGGAGATAAATCAGTCTTCAACATAATTGGAGCTGTGCTGGGTTTTACCTATGAAGGAGGCATATACCAACAAGACTTCTGGCAATCATTCCAGAAACTTTTCTTACAGAGGCTACAGAATTCTTTTACATCATGAGAATAATGTTTCTTAATCCAAGAGTATGATTAGATCAATCTAGGAGTCCTGTACACATATATATTTTTTTATTTTACTGATTTCTCTGTATGTGTATGAAACATTTTTATTAAGGTAAAGTACTTTTTCAAAAGAAAATAGTTACACTTAGCCCCTAGATATTGATTAATTAAAATTTGGGAACTGTTAGCTATAATTATTGATTTGTTTTTGGTTTAGTCCATCATTTTCAATCACAAAAGAATTCATCTTGAGATTCAACCAAACAAAAAATCCAAAAGAGAAGAAAGAATTGTTGGACCTAGCTAGAAAAAACATTCTAAGATGTAAGGTAATAGTACACTATTTGATTATTTAATATATGGACTTTCTGTTCTAGTCGGTGGGTGGTTACATGTTCTAAAATATCAAAAGTAAAAATAAGAAATACCTTTTTAAAATCATTAAGTATCATTAAAGATACTAACGCAAAGTAAAATTAAAGCTTACAACCAAATAATTCAATGTCAAATGGCTTTTTTAGGTGAAGATTCTCCATAAATTACTGAAGAATATAACTGTTGACACTAGTCCAAGAGTTCACCACAAAATATGAAAGGCTGGCAAATAAATTCTTGATTATAATAATTCCACTTTTTCCTAAAAAAAAAAAAGGTTGACTGAGATATCATGTGTCCCAAAGAAGAAAGGAAGCTTCCCTAAACCTTCACACGATACATGCACAGTATACTGTGTTCTTTCTCTGTAACAAACTATTCACCTAACAGTGAATAGTCTTTAAGAGTCTTTAAGAAAATACAGTCTTTAACAGTATGCCATTAATTTCTAAATTTTCAAAAACATATCAAAACAGACAGGAAGTGAAATAAATCCTTGTTTTGCTTTTCTTACATTAGATCCAGTTTATGTTAGGCAAAGAAATAATATACGTATTACCAAATATACATAATACCAATATACATATATATGGTACAAATATATATATGGTATATGTGTATATACATATGGTACATATATACCATATTACCAATATACATAATATAAAAAAATTCATGAAATAACGGTTCACAAACTGGAGCATAAATTAAGCCATCTTTTTTGTTGTGGTGGTTGTTATTTCCCAGTATTTCAGTTCACTGTTGCTCACATATTTTAAAATTTTGAAAAAATTTGATTAGAAAAAGAATATTCTTCTGGTACGTATGCATGCTGAGAGGTGCTAGCAGGTACATTCATCAATGAGCTTCTGTCCAATTGGCTAACTGCTCCCTGGGGAAACCCCAGGAGTGGGCCCATTAAGGGAAGAGTGGCAGTCTTGGTATCTGTTTCATGTTCATTAATTTTAGTCCATTCACAGTGAAGTAGCCAGAATTTTCCGGCCAATTGGCATTAAGCTAATTTCTGTTGAATCACATTCAATATGCTTTTCCTTCTAGAATCAGAGATGCATTCTCTTGGTGGGGTAATGAGGTAGAAGTAAACCCTTGAAAGTAAGGAATGAGAATTATTTTTAGCAAATAACTAATGATATAACTCAGAATATTAACAAACATCCTTTATGTTTCAGCACTAATACAATTTACATAAAATAATAAAAAATAAAAATAAAGCAAAAATTTTTAAAGTTTTATATAAACTGGCTATAGAGCATAGCCTCATAGAATGACTTTCAGAATATAGTTAAGGGATAATCAAAATAAATAAGCAAATAAATAAATTTGTAAGAAGCTATACCTTTTGATTTGCCTTTTTCATGCTTCCCCATAACAGAGAAAATTGGGTCTCAAAACCTTAGGCTCTGGGAAGCATGTACATCTTCCTACTGCATGGACGGAAGTAATATATCTCGCTCAGTGCAAAGGAGAAATCCAAGACGGTATGTACTCTTACTAAGCTCTTCTTAGTTACCCTGAGTGTTTTCTAGATTAGCAGAAAAGGTATAACCTTTGACCTTTAATATTTAGAAATTGTGCAGGAGTCAAGGAAAATTTGCCTTTCTCTATCGAAATATCTGGTAATGTTTTACTGTGAAAGCTCCTTTTGTAATTTTGAATTTATGAATTTGACTGCTCAACTTTTTAATTACAAAATTGTTTTCAAAACTTTTGTTCAGCACAGTCTTCATTGCTTTTCTCTAAAATTAGTAACTAATTAAAAAGTAATATAAAATGTCATTGAAGTGATTTTCAATTACAATAGGCAGTATACTTTTGAGAAACTTGTTTTGGCATTTTATAATTCTTCCTCATAAAACGTTAACCAAATAGTCCTTTGTTTTCCACTTATTTTAAACAGCCGTTTCACTCATTACCTTTTCATTTATCACTTCTCATTTATATGTCTCCTTCCAAACCATCCTCCAACCAATAAAAAAGAAAGAAAAAAACATTATTTTTAAGGAGGTAAAATTCCTTCTATCATTATCTGAATTTTATGTGTAGGCCTTTTAAAATGAGTTTTAGAATGCTAACCATATGAGGTCAGAGAGTATTTCCCCATGTAAATTGAGTTTTGTAGGGCTATCTGGGAGGTTTCAAGCAACAGGAAGAATAAGAACAATTCTGATTTAACTTGCCTTTATGGCACTTTCATCACAGCGCTATCCACAACCTGACCTCTATTAAATGTTTAAATGATATTGAAATAAACACCCCTGGCTTTGGTGGTTTTGGTGACAACAAATAGTTAACTGTAAGGCTTAATTGTAGCATGTAGACAAAAGCATGATCAACAACCAGCAGTTACTTACTTTTCTTTGCCCATTAAACCTCTTTTGTTCAGGTATCCTGCAATCATGGGATTCAGAAGAGGACTGGCCCTTCCAGCCTGGGGGCGGGGTAAGGGGTGGGGGTAGTAAGTCATGGGTGATCTAAAGTAATCATGGGATTTCCTTTTACTTGCCAGTGATTAGATTAGGAGTGGTCACAGGACCTGGTCCTAATCAGAGATGTAAAAATAGGTCTATTTGGAGTATTTTTATTGAATTGCTTTTGAAAAAGATAGGCCTAGGAAGAAGGCACCTCTTCCCTCCCTATACCTTTTGATTCCTCTCTAAATGGCTTGGTAAGAGAAAGATGCCTGGAGCTTGTGTGGTCATCACTGTCACCAGGTACATCAGAAGAACTAGAAAATGAAAGAAAAATGCATACAGAGGGCAGATATATGAGCCAACCCTACAGTTTTTCCATCTATGATCTTGTGAAATAATAAACATACTTATTTTGGAGACATTTCTTTGTATTTCCTGTTACACACAGCCAAAAGCTTTTTCATTCTTCAAGATATTGAACTCCAAATAAAAACCCTAAATATGAATTCTTAGTACCAGCTCCACAACTGAAAACCCTCCACATCTGTGTCTTACGTATCTCTTGTCTGCCCCTCATTCTATAGTTCACCCTCCATGCAGCAGTGATCATACTAAAATCATTTCTAGTGACTTCTGATTATGCTTAAAAGAAGCCCTGACTTACAAGGCTCTGTATGATCTTATTCTTAGCTGTCTTCCCTACTTATTCATTATGCTCCAACCATACTGATCTCCTTTCTATTCCTTGCATGTGTTGGGGCTTTTCCTTCCTCAAGTCCCTGCATTTGCTGTTCTTTTCAGATATTTACATGGCAGCCCTTCAAAATCTTTGTAATAGCTTGAGGTGTAATTTTCTCTAGGGCCTTAGCTCTACATTCTTCCTCATTCATCTCCCCTGGGTCCTATTTCCTCTGCCTTGATTTTCTAGTTTTCCACTCTTCTCTTTATAGCACTTATCTTTAGCACTATCTTTTGTCATCCAGTTCTGCTCCATTTCCCCATCATTATTTTTATGGCCTGGTGATCTATTTTGTGTTGGGTGGAACAGCTGGAGCTCCTTGGGCATCTCTCTCTCTCTCTTCTATCTCTAGCTCTGTAGTCTCTCCAGCTTAGTGATTTCTGAGTAATTACACTTCTTAGGTGGTAGCTAAGTGTTCCAAAGCTAGCTATCTTGAAAAAGAGATCCAAGTGGCAGCTGTATGGCTATTTCTGAGCTAGCATTTTATTGGTTAAAGCAGTCACAAGACCTACTCAGGATCAAGGGGAATGGGTTGTGGACTTCACTTCTTGATGGGAGGGGTGTCAAAGAATTTGTAAATATTTAACATTCTACATTTTTAATATTTTAAAACCACAATCTGGTTTTGGTGACAACAAATAGTTAACTGTAAGGCTTAATTGTAGCATGTAGACAAAAGCATGATCTTCAAATTATGCAGTTTCTACCTTTTTAATATTTCAGAAGCTTTAAATATGCTTTATGCTTCCCTGGACCATGCTTCCTTTGATTATGATCATCTGCCTACCTTATTTTTTGTTGCGGAATCAGTTTTATATAGACTCTGTTGTGATGCATTCCAAAAGACATACTTATATTCAGTTGAAATAAAGCTGATAAAGGTATGTTTTTTTAAAATATTCTAAATATGTTGTAATTGCTACACATACTACATGTAGTCACATGACAGCTGTTTTAGGATCTAAACAGGCCATTTGGTTTTATTATGGAATATTCTCGTTTGATAGTTTGTTTTAATCTTCTCTCTACATGTGGACAATACATTATTACTTGATATCCATATGGAGGTAGTTTGAGAAAATATATTTCCACCAACTATGTAAGAAAATAATATTTAATTAAAATCAAGTTTAAATGTATGTCTGCGTATGTGTAACTTTTCTTTCTATTTTAAGGATTTTTAAATGCCACTTTCCATTTAAAAATGCCAACAGATAACCTTAACTAGTTGCCCAATTTGAGAAAATGAGTTGTTCTCTCACTATTCTGTGTCATTTAGAGCCGTAAGATAGGAAACTATCTTCATGGGGTTCATGTTTTAGAAGGTCTTGGATGTCATATGGTTCTACTCACTGTGATGATTGCGGTTGCCTGTTGCAAAATTTATTATGAGTCCAAAAAATTTAGGTTAAGTAGTGGTTTATTGCAAAGAAAATAAAGAAAAGCAGAAGAAAAAAATATAAGAATATATATTTTTAGGATATATGTATTTTAAGAATTACTTGCAAAAATTATTAAGTATTATTTGCAAGAATAATTTCTTATTCAGTTTTGACTGTGAACTGTTAGAAACCAAACATTGAAAATATTCATTAGTCAGCCAGGGCATTTTTGGAAGATACTATATTTTAGTCCTTAGAAATCAAGCCTACATCCTCTCCAACATGTTTGGGGGTAAAAGACTTACGGAGACCAGGAGAAATTCAGAGAGCACGTAATAGATGTAATGGAAATTGAACGTGCGAAGAACTGAGGCTTTGCATAGAAGAAGGATGGGAGAAGAGAGGCAAGATGTTACCATGATGACTTTTTCTTCTTTTTCCTGTTTCCCAAACTGTCCATTAAGGAGATATAAAAAGATTATAAAATTATTATAGAGATTTAAAAAGATATCTACATTTCTATATTAATGATAAAAGAATGAAAGGAGAAATATAAAGCCAGTCTGGTTTTCTCCCCTTTTCTTCTCATTCCCTTTAGTGACCATTTTCCATTCATGGCCATTTATATTTCTGCTACCAATAAATGACTCTAAAATAAAGTTTTAGCCATTGCACAAATTATTTATAATTTATATACACTATGTCATTTATTTATTTATTTTTAAAGATTTATTATTTTAAAGAGAGAGCACACGCACGAGTGGAGGGGAGGGGCAGAGGGAGAGGGAATGAGGGAATCTCAAGCAGACTCCCCACTGAACACGGAACCCTATGCGGGCCTCGATCCCACAACCCTGAGATCATGACCTGAATGGAAACCAAGAGTCAGATGCTTAACCAACTGAGCCACCCAGGCACCCCATCACTATGTCATTTTTTTTTTTTTTAAGATTTTATTTATTTGTCAGAAAGAAAGAGACAGAGAGCATGAGAAGGAGGAGGGTAGCAGGGAGCCCGATGCGGGACTCGATCCTGGGACTCCAGGATCATGACCTGAGCCGAAGGCAGTCGCTTAACCAACTGAGCCACCCAGGCGCCCACTATGTCATTTATTTTTAAAAGGATTCCTATATCTTCTCATCTGAAAGTTTCGACAATTTGCACAGGTTCATATAATAGCTGTGTACACTTAGAACTTAACTTGCACAATGATCATAATTTAGATGTATTAGACATATTAACTTATTTAATCCTTATAACAATCCTAAAAGGTAAGTGCTATTATTGGCCATTATTTTACAGACTGTGGCATAGAGAGTCTAAGTGAATTATTCAAGGTCTCAGCAGAGAAGGTTTTGAAACCCAGAAGGTTTTGAAACCCAGTGGACTCTCAGCTATAATGCTATACATTTACCTTGGCTCTCAGATTTACTAATTTCAAAGTCTACTCCTTATTGTTCTAGATAATATAAATTAGCTAGTAGAAATAAGCATGCTCTATAAGTACCTTTGATTTCAGGCAAGAAGCCATTTCAGTTATCTTCCTTGACTTTGTAGAATTTTCATTATATATCTGACAGTCAGTTGGAAACCTCCCTTTTGATCTTTTCTTTTTGACGGTATGATATACTGAAACGTATTGCCAGGGAAGCATCACCCACCTTCATATGCACCATTTTTTGATAAAGTAGTATATAACTCAGCATTAGGAAAAGCCAGAAATATTTGATTCCATAATATTATTTACTTTCACATTTTGTGTGCCTTCTTTCCTTGGTATTTACCACTGAGTGTAGAATCCCATCTTAAGTATTAAAGTTTACTTAACTGAAGTGTAGAGAATAACATATAAGCAACGATAGTTTAATACATTTTCGATAGAAAATGTTCTTCAAGCTTCTATAAAAAAAACTTGGAGCACATAACAAACCATTAAAATATAACACATAATAAATATTATTCATCTTTTCTGTTTCACTATTAGATAATAGAGTCTGATAAATGAAGAGAAGTAGTCATGGAAAGAGAAGGAAAGAAGGGGAATAAGGAATAAAGGAAGGAAAGATGGTAGAGTGAAGAAGGAGAAATTGACAAGGAGAGATTCAGTCTAGGAGGCAAAGCTCAAGCTGTCAAGCTACAGAAAGAATATGTACACAAATGAGACGAGGAAAGATGCACAGAGGGTCCCAGAATATTTTAGAGATACAGAAAGGCAGATTTTTAAATAAAAATTTAGACTTTCAGAATATTATAGATGAAAGCTTTTAAAACCATTTTTCCAAGCATAGTTATAACTAGGGATAGCCTCTGGGTCAGGTGAAACTCATGACCAAATTAGGGTATAATACAGTGATCATTCAAACTGATCTGTTTTTCATGTATTTTTCTATTTTGTACAATGTGAAATTTTTGAACATGAATTTTCCTTTCAGTATCCATCTCTAATTCCTTTCAAATTATTCCCCTTTGATTAATTTTCATTCATTGTCTATAACAAGGGGTATTTTTTATTTTAATATTCTCACTTAGAAAATTGCAGTATTCTTTTAAATGATCTGACAATTTCCACTCAATCTAACTTCAATCTCTTAGAGAAGCATAGTACTATATCAAAGTGATCTGTATGAAGAGATCCCTTGGATATCCTTCATAAATGTTTTCTTTTTATTTAAGTCTATAAATGGTACATATTTATAATTTATAGATACATTTATAAATATTGGTGCTGCATTCTCAGAATTTATTTTACCAATAGAATTTTATGATAAAAATACTTGGAAATCACTGCTATAATAGAAAGTTCATGACTTTTGGTGCAGCACAGTCTTGGGTTCAAAGTCCAGTCATGCCACTTATTTGTTAAATTGTCTTGGTTTAATCACTGAGACTTGATAGAATCATCTTTTTTGTTTTATTATTGTTTTTTACATATGGATCTGACAGTACCCTGCATCATTGTTAAGAGGATTTGGACTACATGTATCTTGATAATGATATTGTTTTATTTGTTTTTTTTTCCATAATCTTATGCTTTAGCAATTTAAGAATTTGTGTTCCATTTATTTCTATGGTTTGTGGGTTTTTTTCTTATGTTCTGTGAAAACTTGCACATCATGTATTTTTGCAGATATTCCATTTTCTGTATTGTATGTAAAACAAACATGCTACACATGAAACTTCACAGAGGTAAGATAGTAGTGTTTATTTAGCAATGGCTTTTTTCATAAGGGAATTGGGATCTTAGTGTAGCATAGTATGCCCGGGCAAAGTATTTCTCAAAACTATCTAAAGAAATGTTTTTTAAACTGTTTTGACTGAAACTTATAGAAAGAAATATCTTTGGCATTGCAATCCAGCACACACATAATGCACACTGATTTATTTCCCAAAACAAGGAACTGTGCAATGTACTATGATATTTTCTTTTCTCTTTTACTTTGTTTAAAAATCCCCTCTCAATTGATTTCATGACTCACTTAAGTGCCATGACTTGCAACTTGAAAAGTACTATTCTATAGGACATGGAACAAAATAGCATTCAGTATTGGTCATTATATATAATGTAGAGATGATTTGTAAGATTTTCTTGGCTGAACCAGTATTTCAACCTTGATATAAATGTTTTAAAGTTATTTCAAAAGCACATAAGCTCAAGTGAGTTTGAAATTGTTTCATCAAAAGCAAATGTAATAATAAAATGGTTTAGTTTCCTTATAGTTTCTAAACATCTATTGATGCAACACAAAAATATTTTTTTTCTTTTTCTTTTGACAGATTGGCTATTTGGTCTTCTTACGACTTTTTATATATTTCCTGCATGGTCACCTAGAAAGTTTTAAACAACATTTATTTAGGCTTCAACCATATTTATACGGTAGACTATCTTTTATTTTCTGTACTTATAAATGTTTTATGTTATAGTTTGAGAAGCTCAGACTATCACTATAAAGAACATAAACTGTATTTTATTTTTCATGAAAAGTAATAGGTACAGTATTTGAGAACAAGGCTTCTGGGCCAGACTGCGTGGGTTTTACTTTTAACTTTTCTACCTAACTAAGTGCATGATCTTGTTTGTGACTCAGTTTCCTCATCTGTAATAGTATCTACCTTTCTAGATTTCAAGAAAGTAATTTTATATTTTAGTAAGGTAATACTAGTGACAATGTAGATACTGAACTAGAGTAAGAAGAGTGTGGATGCAGGGCATCAGTTAGCTATGACATTAGTTGGGCAGGAGATGTTAACCATTATGAACTTGTAAAATGGGAATGAGATAGAGTAGGATAGTTTTGAAAAATGTTTGGGAGGAAAAAGACACGAAATTTGGTGATCAATTGGATCTATGCTATATATAAGGGAAAATGAGGAATTCAGGAGGAACCTTAAATTTTATATGCTGACAAATACAGTCAAGATAATGTACTCTAAACTGAAAAAATTCTGGAGAACCATTGGACGTGTTGAAATTTGAAGGTCAATCAGGTATATATACACAGTGAGTAGTTAGAAATACAGATTTGGAACTAGGGAGATAAGCAAAGGCTGGGACTCACTTATTTCATAGATACTAACATAGATGATTTGACAATCATCCATGTTAACATGGCTGAAATAACCTTGGGGTGGAAGGTGTTGGGGGGGGAATTAATTCTAGGAAAAGGCTTGGAGAACATAAACATTTAGTAGATAATTGGAGTGCCATACATCAGTAAAGGGAAATAAGAGGGAGTAATGACATAGAAATCTAAAGAAGGGAGGCTCAAGAAGATCAACATCATCAAGAGCTGTAGAAGTATTAAATAATAGGAGGTCTGAAAGTTGATGGGATTCTGTAAGCAGAAAGTCATTGTTGATCTTGGGAGCATTCCTGTTGGAGAGGTGGAAGCAAAATTCAGATTGGAGGTAAACAAAGAGTAAAGTGAAAGCTTAAGCATAAGACAGAGGCGGTGAACTATTACAAAAAGCTTAGCTATAAAGGGAAAGAGAAATACATCAGTAGTTTGGATGAAAAAACAAGGTCAAAAAAGAGTTTCACTTCTTCCTTTCCAATTTGGATGCCTTTTATTTCTTTTTCTTGCTTAACTGGTATGGCTAGGACTTCCATTACTATGTTGAATAAATTTGGTGAGAATGGGCATCCTTGTCTTGTTCCTGATCTTGGAGGAAAAGCTTTCAGCTTTTCACCCTTGAATAAATGTTAGCTGTGGACTTGTCATATGCAACCTTTATTATGTTGAGTTACATTCCCTCTATACCTGCATTGTTGAGGGTTCTTTTAATCATAAATGGATGTTGATTTTTGTCACATGCTTTTTCTGCATTTATTGAGATGATCATATTTTTAGCTTTCATTTTGTTAATGTGGTGTATCACATTGACTGATTTGGGGATGTTAAACCATCCTTGTATCTCTGGAATTAATCCCACTTAATCATGGTGTATGATCCGTTTAATGTGTTCTTGAATTTGGTTTGCTAATATTTTGTTGGGGATTTTTGAATCTATGTTCATCAGGGATATTGGCCTGTAATTTTCTTTTCTTGTGGCATCCTTGTATGATTTTGGTAGGGTAATGCTGGCCTAATAAAAAGAGTTCCTTCCTCTTCTATATTTTGGAAGAGTTTAAGAAGGATTGGTATTCTCTTTGAATGCTTGGTAGAATTCATCAGTGAAGCTGTCTGGTTCTGGACTTCTGTTTGTTGGGAGGTTTTTGATTATTGATTCAGTCTCCTTACTAATAATCACTCTATTCATATTTTCTATTTCATCTTGATGCAGTCTTCGTAGGTTGTATGTTCCTAATAATTTATCCATTTCTTCTAGGCTGTCTAATTTGTTGGTGTATAATTGTTCATAGTAGTCTCTTATGGCCTTTTGTATTTCTTTTTTTTAATCCTTTTTTTCTATTGTAACATCTCCCTTCATTTCTTTTTTAAAAAAGATTTTATTTATTTATTTGAGAGAGGGAGAGGGTGAGATAGAGCAGAGCAGGGTGAGGGGCAAAAGAGAAGCAGGCTCTCCGCTGAGCATAGAGCCCAATGTGGGGCTCCATCCCGGGACTCTGGGATCATGACCTGAGCCGGAGGCAGACACACTTAACTTACTGAGCCACCCATGTGCCCCATCTCCCTTCATTTCTGATTTTACTTATATGAGTCCTCTTTTTTCTCTTGGTGAGTCTAGCTCAAGGCTTGTCAATTTTTCTTTTCAAAAAACTTCATTTTTTAGTTTTAAATAAACTTTTTAGTTTAATGGATTGAATAAAGAAAACAAGGTCAAAAGAGGAAAAGATTAGTATGTTGTAGGATAAGAGATAAAAAAGAGACTCAAGATACAAAAAAGGGAATATTTGGTGGAAAAAGTCATGGAGGAGAGAATAGGAGATAATAGAAGTGTTTTGGAGACTGACCAATGAATTGCATCACTACTACAAATTCTGACAGGGTATGAAACCAAGACAAGACTGAATAAGAATTTATGTCTATCATATCACTTGTTTTGATTTCTTCATACATTATAATCCTCTTTTTAACTCCTCACTGTGTTCAGCATAGTGACTCATTAAATAATTAGATGATAGTGGCAAATAAATTTTGAAAAATTATGTGAATAAGATCTCAAGATCTCACATTAGTTTGTTATTGTAGATCTATCCCAAGAAAACCAATAACTTTGTTTCATATAAGGATAAAATCCCCAATTTTGCCCTTCTGTCAAATACTGTTCAGTAGAGCCTTACTTATGCTATATCTCTGTCTTTAGCAACAGAATGATTTTTACCTGGGGCCATTAGCAACTGCCTCCTATCCATGTAGCCATATAGTAGAAGAGTAGTTATTGTTATTTTTTTCCACTGTCAATAGATTGAAACTCAAAAATTGTCTAAAAGTTTACAAAAAGAACAGCATAAAGATATTTCTGTTAAATACCACATAGTGTTATGTTGAATGACATAATTGTTGTTATATTTAAAATATATTCTTTCAAAAATCAACAATAACATCTTGAAAAAGAATAAAACTGGAGAATGTAGGTTAACAGTGATGCTTTGTAGGATTACAGTTTCAAAGTATCCATTATGATATGATAACATACGAATGTTATAACTTGATTTATTTTCACCTGGAAGTTTCCAACCATTATTGTGCAGTAACTATACTTAATTGGGCATTCGACCATTATGCAATTGATGTTCTGAATTATATAAACTCTTCCGTATTAATTATTTACCTTGTAGTTTTCTATTATGCCAGCAGGGGTCATGCATAACATTATAAATCTTGAATGGATGGGGGAATGGATAGCAGTTTCAGCATCTAAGTACTGAATTTAATTATATTTTAGTAACTAAAAGACAAATGAAACACAATGCAAGATATTAATATATTCATCACAAATTATTTTTCTTACAATAGCACTTTGTTTCTCTGGAGAGTCATATTACAAGTATCCAAACATCTTTTCAAATGTGCAATTCATTCTGAAAACCATGGAAATTATATGCAAAAGAGAACTCCCCTCTGGATCAATTTTTAGCCCTGTGGAAAACAAGAAAAGCTATAAGAACATAGATTCTGATATGGTGAGTATCCTAGTGCATAATGAGTCAGATAACATTAATGTGATTAAATAATTGTGCTTGCCAATACTGTAACATTGCTGAAGATGAGTTTAGCTGGTGGTGGGGGTAGGGTGAGAGGAACAAATAGCAAAAACAATAAACCCATATGCACAGTTCCTGGACAGTAGTTAATAGGATTAGCAGTGGGGCATCAGTATGCACCACTATGACTTTAAATAGAGTAATGTCATAATATCTTTTTCCTTATAGATTCCATCTCAGCTATTTAATAGGAAATAGCAATGCAATTTAATTTATAAATGAGGATTTTAAGATATTACATTTGTATTAAAAGGAAAGTGTATAAAGTACAGGCTATTAATGAGAGCAGTTGTCATATTTGATGCCTCCATAATTCATATGTAATTACTTTTAAAATGCTATTAAAATCAACTGAAATGTTTTTAAATGGTTCAGAATTGAGTAAATAAAATAATTTCTAGTATATGAAAAATTGTCTTTTAATTTCTAACTTGGACATTAGTGATCAACATTAGAGAAAACTGTCCCAATCATATAATTCCTTGGTATGTAATAAATTATGTATTATGCGAACAAAGCTGCAGTGAGCCATATAATTGTTCATATATATTATAGGCTGATGTACCTCAAAAAACAAACTTCAATCTCTGGGGCTCATATGTATTTCCTTCTCTCACATATACTCCAAAAGAAAGCAGTGAACAGTTTGAAACCTTGCTTCTTTTGTTATTTTATTTTTTGTTACATGTACTTATTATTTCATAGTTTATAAACAGAAAATTTGTTTTTCTAATAATTTCTTAAAAAGGAAAACATACGGGGGCGCCTGGGTGGCTCAGTCAGTTAAGTGTCTCTTTTTTTTTTTTTAAAGATTTTATTTATTTGACAGAGAGAGACACAGTGAGAGAGGGAACACAAGCAGGGGGAGTGGGAGAGGAAGAAGCAGGCTTCCCGCGGAGCAGGGAGCCCGATGTGGGGCTCGATGTGGGGCTCGATCCCAGGACCCTGGGATCATGACCTGAGCCTAAGGCAGACGCTTAATGACTGAGCCACCCAGGCGCCCCAAGTGTCTGACTCTTAATTTTGGCTCAGGTCGTGATCTCGGGGCTGTGGGATCAAGCCCTGTGTCTGTCTCCATGCTCAGCTTGGAATCTGCTTGGGATACTCTCTCTCCCTCTGCCCCTCTCCCCACTCATGCGCACTCTCTCTAAAATAAATAAATGAATAAATCTTAAGGGAAAACGTTTAACATAAGGGAAGTTGAAACAACTAAAAAAATTTAAGATTCCTTTTTCAAATAGTTGTATTATGATTTGCCTCACAGTTTTCCCATGCTTCTCTTGGGCCCTTTCTAAAACCAACTAAAACATAAGTATTTAAGGAAACACATTTAACCACATCTATTTGTAATCATTATAGGCTTTTGTGTTTTCTCTTTGGCTCATTACTTGGTGAATCATTGACATAGAGTGACATATGCTAAGTAATTTTGAACCTTTTGGTTATAATTACTAATGAGCACCAATTACTTCATGCACAAAAGGGATCTTGTTTTTAAGTTTAAAGACTATTTTAACAATAAATATATAATCTATGACACTGAACAATGGTAAGAACATTGGTCATGAGAAGAAACACCTGCTCAGCAACTGACTGTATGATTCAGAGGAGGTCCGTTGAGCTCTCTAAACCCCCATTTGCTTATCTTTAAAAAAGACTTCATCACCGCCGCCACCATCATCATAATCATTATCATCATCATCGTATTCACCCTAACTAATCTATAGGATTGTTGTGAAGATTGCAAAAAAGCATGTGCCTTGTAAATTATTGAGGGCCGTGAAAATGTTAACAATTATTATTGAACATTATATTTAGGAACTCACTTTAACTTAGGCAGTTAAATATAGTAATTTTCATCTAAGGACATGATTATGCTGACTAAATAATTGTGTTTTACTATGAAGTTAATTGTGCTTAATGAGTGATTTGAGTGTTTTGCTTAAAAAAATAAGATATTGTGAAATCTTGACAATATGAGTGTTCTAGTTATGAAGCAGGCAACCTTCAGTGTTGATTCTGCTTCTCTTTAAGAATCTAAATGTTCAACAAAGCAGGAAAGAATATCCAATGGAAAAAGGACAATCTCTTCAACAAGTGGTGTTGGGAAAATTGGACAGCCACATGCAGAAGAATGAAACTGGACCACTTTCTTATACCATACACAAAAATAAATTCGAAATGGATGAAAGACCTAAATGTGAAACAGGAGTCCATCAAAGTCCTAGAGGAGAACACAGGCAGCAACCTCTTTGACCTCAGCCACAGCAACTTCTTGCTAGACATGTCTCCATAGGCAAGGGAAACAAGGGCAAAAATGAACTATTAGGACTTTATCAAGATAAAAAACTTTTGCACGGCAAAGGAAACAGTCAACAAAACTAAAAGGCAACCTATAGAATGGGAGGAGATAATTACAAATGTCTTATCAGGTAAAGGGCTAGTATCCAAAATCTAAGGAACTTATCAAGCTCAACATCCAAAAAAAAAAAAAAATCCAGTCAAGAAATGGGAAGAAGACACAGACATTTCCCAAAGAAGACATGTAAATGGCCAACAGACACATAAAAAAATGTTCAACATCACTCATCATCAGGGAAATACAAATCAAAACCATAATGAGATACCACCTCACACTGGTCAGAATAGCTAAAATGAACAACTCAGGAAACAACAGATGCTGGCAAGGATGCAGAGAAAGGAGAACCCTCTTACACTGTTGGTGGGAATGCAAACTGGCGCAGCCACATAGGAAAACAGTATGGAGGTTCCTCAAAAAGTTAAAAAAAGAAAAAAAGAACTACCTTACAATCCAGCAATTGCACTACCAGGTATTTATCCAAAGTATACAAACATAGCGATTCGAAGGGGCACGTGTACCCCAATATTTATAGCAGCAATGTCCACAATAGTCAAACTATGGAAAGAGCCTAGATGTCCATTGACAGATGAATGGGTAAAGAAGATGTGGTGTGTGTATATATATATGGAATACAATGGAATATTACTCAGCCATCAAAAAAATATTACTCAGCAAGAGTGAAATCTTGCCATTTGCAACAACATGGATGGAACTAGAGGGTATTATCCTAAGTGAAATAAGGCAGTCAGAGAAAACAAATACCGTGTGATTTCACTCATGTGGCATTTAAGAAACAAAACAGATGAACATAGGGAAAGGGAAGGAAAAATAAAATAAGATGAAAACAGAGAGGGAGGCAAACCATAAAAGACTCTTAACTATAGGAAACAAACAGGGTTGTTGAAGGGGAGCTGGGTGGGGGGATGGGGTAACTGGGTGATGGGCATTAAGAAGGGCACTTGAAGTAATGAGCATGTGGTGTTATATGCAACTAAATAATCACTAAATTCTACCTCTGAAACTAATAATACAGTATATGTCAATTAAATTGAATTTAAATTAAAAAATATGAAAAATAGAAAGATGCTATCTAAAAAAAAAAAAATCTATCTGTTCTTGTCAATCTTGGTGCACAAAAGCTACAAGGAAATGGAAGATTCCTGCCATACAGCTTTGCCTGAACTGGAAGGGGCAAAATGTCAACACATGAAAAGAATGTATCTGTTTAGGGGCGCCTGGGTGGCTCAGTTGGTTAAGTGTTGGCCTCTTGCTTTTGGCTCAGGTCATGATCTCAGAGTCCTGAGATAGAGACCCCACGTCGGGGTCTGTGCTGAGCACGGAGTTGTCTTGTCCCTCTCCCTCTGCTCC